AGATTCATTTGATATTCTTGACCTTCTGTTCTTCCAGATGAAATTTGTTATTATTTTTCCTAGCTCTGTAAAATAATACTTTGGTAGTTTGATTGGTGTGACACTGATAAGTAAATGAATTTAGGTAGAATTGTCGTTTGTATTATATTGGCTCAACCTGAACATGAGCAAACATGTATCTCCAACTTTTTAGATCTGACTTTATTTGTGTGAAAAAGTGTTTTGTAGTTGTGTTCATATACTTCCTGGGTTTGTCTTGACAGGTAAACTCCCAAGTATTCTATATTATCTGAAGTTATTTTAAATGGGGTTTTTCTTTTTATCTCTTCTTACTGGACCTTGTTGACATGGTCAGATCTATACATAGCCATTGAACTAATATAGAAAACTAGAAACTGGTTTTATGTGAAGAAAAACCAATAGCGAAGTAGATAAACCAATGGTTAATTTGATTTTTAAAAAAGAAAGAAAACCAAATTAGCAGCATCAAAAATGAAAAGGGGAATTCACCACTAATGAATATAAAATTAAAGCATATTGAAAGCTATTTTACCCAATTATGTGCCAATAAATCTAAGTGAAATGGATGGTCAGAGCTATATATAGAAATGTTAATGATTTATATGGGTTTATTTATTTATTTTTATTATATTATTATACATAATATATTATAAATGTTTATTTATTTATTATTCTGTGACTTTGCTAGAGTTGTTAATTATTTTAACTAGTTTTTAGCTGATTCTCTAAGCATACCGTCATATCATCTGCAAAGAGTAATAGCTTTGTTTCCTCATTGCCTATTCTAATACCTTCACTTTCTTTTTTTGTCCTGTTGCTACAGCTAACAATTCTAGCACAATACTGAATACTAGTGGTAATAATGGGCACCTTTGATTCACCCCAACCTTACTGGGAAGGCTTCTAGCTTATCCCCATTATAGATAATGCTGGCTGATGGTTTTAGATAGATACGACTCATCATTTTAAGAAAAGCTCTATTTATTCCTATGCTTTCTTAGACTTTTTAACAGGAATGAGTGTTGCATTTTATCAAAAGATTTTTCTGCATCTATTGAGATAATCATATGATTTGGGCTTGTGTTGTTATTGATATGGTCAATGATGCTGAGAGTTTTCCTAATATTGAACCAGACTGCATTCCTGGTATTAATCCCACCTGGTCATAGTGTGTGATTTTTGTAACATATTGCTGTAATCTCCTTGCCAGGATTTTTTATTCCTTTTTGGTGAGGCAGTCGGGGTTAAGTGACTTGCCCAGGGTCACCCAGCTAGTAAGTGTCAAGTGTCTGACGCTAGATTTGAACTCAGGTCCTCCTGACTCCAAGGTCAGAGTTCTATCCACTTTGCCACCTAGCTGCCCCTCCTTACTAGGATCTTATTTAAAATTTTTGCATCAATATTCGTTAGGGAAATTGGTCTATAAATTTTCTTTCTCTGTTTTGGCTCCTTCTGGTTTAGCTATCATTACCACATTTGTGTCATAAAAGGAATTTGGTAGGATTCCTTTTTTACCTATTTTTCCAAAGAGTTTGTATGATATTGAAGTAATTGCTCTTTGAATGTTTGGTAGAATACATTTGTGAGCCCATCTGGTCTTGGGGATTTTTTCTCAGGGACCTTATTGATGGCTTATTCAATTTCTTTTTCTAAGATAAGGTTATCTAAGTATTCTATTTCCACTTCTGCTAACCTGGACAATTTATATTTTTGTAAATATTCATATATTTTGCTTAGATTGTGAGTTTTACTAAAATATAATTGGGCAAAATAACTCTTAATAATTTAATTTCGTCTTCATTGGTGGTATATTCACCCTTTTCATTGTTGATACTAGTAATTTGGGTTTTTTCTTTCTTTTTTTTTTAATCCAGTTAACCAGTGGTTTATCTATTTTGTTGAGTTTTTTTTTCCATAAAACCGGCTCTTAGTTTTATTTATTAGTTCAATGGTTTTCTTACTTTCAACTTTATTAATCTCTCCTTTGATTTTCCAGATTTCTAATTTGGTATTTAATTAGGGATTTTAAATTTGCTCTCCAAATAGTTCTCAAAATGGTAATTGATCCTACCGGCAAATTGTGTTTTTCTTTGAGCCTTTCCTTGTAAGGTGATTGAGAGTTATACTCTCATTTCTTAGTTTGTGTCTTAGGCATCCCTAACATCATAATAGCTTTTTATCTTTTTTCTTTATTCATTCTTCAGGAAAGGAAGAACCATGTTGAAGGCCAGATTCTCAAAGGGTCTGAGCACCAGATTTTTTCCCTTGGGATTGGAGGCAGCATAGCCTCCATGAGGCCCTGCTCCTATCCCAGGGGCTAAGTCTCAGGGTCACCCTGCTGACATCCTTATCTCTACCCTGAGGTCTGAGCCTGAGGTCCCACCTCCTCCAGGGACCTGGATCTGGTGTGACACCAAATGAGTAGATTCTTCTACAAACATACACACACGCACACACACACCCCATTCGTAGGAATACATTGAAATCAACAGAGAAATCTGTGTGAACAGGGAAAAGAGGGGGTTTAAGACTGAGAACAGGATAGGTGAGAGAATTGTCTTAAGGAAAACAAACTCCAATGGAAGAGGAGGAAAAGTTAGAGCTACTCAAAGTGGAACGGGCTGGCTACTGAAAAGGTAGTGGGCTGCTCATCTCTGGAAGTCTTCAAACAAATCTTGAATGGTGATTGTGTTGCGGAGGGGATTCTCTGAGTATGGGTTTCACTAGATGCCCACTGAGGGGCCCCATGGAACACTGAAATTCTGGTTCTGAGAGGAGAATGATGGTGCTGAGAAGACCAGAAAAGTCACCTAGTCTAACCCTGTCACTGCACAGATGGAGAAACTGAGGCCCAGAGAATGGGAAAGTGACTTACCTAAGGTCACTCACCTAGGAAGTAGCAAAGCTGGCACCACACCCCAGGTCCCTGCTGATGCTGCTCACTTTCAAGACTGACACTTGGGCTGAGACCAGGGAGGCCTAGAGACGTGGCAGGTTTGGGATGTGCTGGTTGAGGCTAGGGCAGAAGGCAAGGCCTCTGTCAATAGCCAGGCTGCCTGGGCTGTGTTGTCTATTGGTGGCCCCAGAGCTCAGCCTATGATTCAGCACCAGGAGGACAGCTGGCAGAGGTCCCTGAAGGCCCAAGGCCCAGGTAGCCAACACAGAAACTTCTGAGCACCCCTAGGCCAAGGCACCCCCAAAAGCAGGGGTGTGGGTGTCCCCTCAGTGCCTGGCCCCACCCCAGTAAGCTCCCTAAGGCAAACCTATGCCAAGGGTAGAGGCAAGGGGAGGGGTGAGGGAAGAGGTAGAGGCTGGAGGAAGGAGAACGGTTGGGAGCGCCCAGGATGTGAAGACCATCTGGTCCAAAGCCCTCATCTTGCAGAGGCTGAAGTGAGGCCTAGGGAGGCAAAGGGATTGCCCAAAGTTTCATGCACAGAATGACCCTAATAATACTGGGGTTCAGGCCTAGAGTGTTGAGTCTCCCAACAAGCCTGGGACAGAGATCCCCAGTGACAGTTCCCTCATTGCCTTCCCTTCCCCTCTGCCCGCCGTGAGGAGAGTGAGGCTTTGAGAGGTGAGGGCCTTGCCCATGGTGAGCCAGGGAGAGATGTCAGGGAGCCTGGGCCAGAGGGCTGCTCATCATGTCTGGAGAGGAGCCAGTGCTGAGCCCAGTCTCCCAAGGTGACGTTCCTCTTTGAACTGGACCTGTGATCTCCTAGGTGTGGGGAACTCCCAGTGTAGACCCCTCCCCACCAAGGCAGATTGGCAACACACCAGAAACTGACCATCTTGCTAAGGGGCTGGATGGTGGAAGGAGATGGGGACAAACCTATGGTCACATGGTTGTGGTCATGTCCTCACTGAGACCTCAGGGAGTGGCTGTTCCTTAGGGGCTCCAGGTCAAACCTATTCATTCCTGTGCTGTAACCTACTGGGTGGGTGGGGGGGGGGGTCTTCCTGGATGGAGCATCCTCATGAAGAGCTTGGGGTAACCTTGCTGAGTTCTACCCTTGGCCTGTGCCTAGTGAGGGGGTCCAGGTGGGGACCACTATCCCTGGGCATTCCTAGCACCTCCCTGCTCCTACTGTCTCCTCTCTGTCCAGGGCCTCTGCCCTAGCTCAGGACAGACATCTTTCCAGATGGCCACTGGGATAGAGTGGGATAGAGTGGGCCTGCACGGGGCTCAAGCGCTCCCTCTGGGCACACTTGGCATAGATCTGAACTTCAGTTGACTTAACAGCACCTAGAGCCAAGGTGGAGAGGGTGGGGCTGTGGGGGAGGGTCCCCTGCGGTGAAAGTTGGACCCCAGGAGAGGTCCAGGGCCTCTTAACACCATGTGGCATGGGGACAGGCTGAGGACCACGGAGACTGGGGATTGTGGAAGACAGTACTGCTGCTGAATGAGACAAAGATCCTGTGGGTCCACCCACTTTCTGGCTCTCGCCAAGGGGGCCAGGACAAGTTCACGCTGCATGGGAGCCCCTGGCAGCCCCCACTGCATGGCCTCATTTGCAGCCCTCTGCACACCCTCCCTCTGGGGGCACCAGCAAAGAAGTAGCCACCATTTGGGCCATCCCCCTACTGCACGGGCCCACCTAGGTGGACCAAGTGGCTACTTGCTGCTTTGCTGTGCTGGGTCCCAAAGGATGGGGACTCCCACTGATTCCTGACTGCCACTTCCTCACCCCCTCAGCCCCACCCTCAACTGGAGGATGCTTCAAAAAAAAAAAGCACCACAGAAGCAAGAGAATGTTTTTATTGTCAAATCTGCAGAGAAAAGTTATGAGAGCTAAGGAGCAAAATAGCAGATGCTTTACTGGGGGGCCTCCAAGGAATGCTTTGGGGAGTGGCAGGGGCGGCCACTTGCTAGAAAGAGCTGAATTAGGGAGCCTGGAGCGATTAAGATTGGGGACAACTGTGCTGGAGGATACCAGGGGAGGGGACCAGGTGAGGCTGGCTCTAGCACAAGGGCCCAGATGTCATGGGGAGGGGGCCCCTGCAGCTGCTGCTGCCACTGCCTCTTCCTGGAACCACCCCGCAGGTCCTCCAGGCCTTGATCTGCAGCATCCCTCTGGTCCAGGCTCCACCCCTCTAAGCAAACTTTCCCACACACCACCACCACTGCCTCCTCCACCAACCTCAGTGGGAGCCCCCTTAATATACCCCTTGAACTTCTTCTGGCCTTTGCCACCGTGGTGCTGCTGCTGGGGCAGCGCCTGCTCCTGCCGGGTTGGCAGTGGCGGCACTGGAGGGGGCTGCTGCGGCTGCTGTGGCTGGGGTGGCTGGGGCTGCGGCGGCTGTGGGATCTTCTTCGCCTCCTCAGCAGCCTGTGGCGGGGGTCCACCCTCCTTGTTATACAGATCCATCTTCTCTAGCAGAGTATCCACCTTCTGTTCAATCTTCGCCAGATCACTCCAGTTGCCTTGGAGATCCTCACCTTTCATCTTGTACCACTTGGGAACAGAGCCTTGCTGCCCACCTTTGGCACCAGAGTCCCCTTTGCCCTTGCCCTTCGAGTTGTCTGATAAGCAAAGAGTGACAAGGACAGTCCTCTGGTTAGTAGCTGGCATTTCCCCAGGGCCTTTATGGGCCACAGTGCCCCTCCCTTCTATTCAAGTGCTTACCTGGCCCTCCCCTCCCCACATACACACTGCAAGAGATGGGCAGGTCCTCCTGATCCCCACCCTTGGCAGATCAGGACCTACATTCACCTCTCCTGAACCACACCATTGGCACCTGAAGGATCCCCTAGAGACCACTCACTCAGAAAGTCAAACCTTTTCACTTTTCCAGATGGGGAAACTGAGGCCCAGGCTCCCTGGCTTGCCCTACATAGCTAAGGGTAAGGAAGCAGCAGAGCTTTGGCCTGGAATCCAGGTCTTCACACTGGCCCCTATCTCACCCTTTCAATCTCTCTCTCTCTCTCTCTCTCTCTCTCTCTCTCTCTCTGTATCTCTGTGTCTGTCTCTGCCTTGTCCTTGTCTCTGTATCTTTGTTTCTGTTTCTGTTTCTGTCTCTGTCTCTCTGCCTCTCTCTCTCTCTCTTTCTCTCTGTCTTTCTCTCTCTCTCTTTCCCTCACTCCCCACTCTGTCTCTCTGTATTTCTTTCTTCTTCTCCTTCTTCTTCTCTTGTTCTTCTTGTTCTTCCTCTTCCTCTTTTTCTTCTTCTTCTTCTTCTTCTTCTTCTTCTTCTTCTTCTTCTTCTTCTTCCTCTCTCTCTCTCCTCTCTCTCTCTCTCTCTCTCTCTTTCTCTGTCTCTCTCCTCTCTCTCTCTCTCTCTCTCTCTCTCTCTCTTTCTCTCTCTCTCTCCCTCTCTCTCTCTCTCTCCCTCTCTCTCTCTCTCTCTGTCTCTCTCTCTCCTCTCTCTCTTCCTCTCTCTCTCTCTCTCTCTCTCTCTCTCTCTCTCTCTCTCTCTCCCTCTCTCCCTCTCTCCCTCTCTCCCTCTCTCTCTCTCTCCTTGCTCATTGCTGCTTTTTCCATTTCCCTAGATTCACTCAAACCTGTGGAGCAGACAAGGTGGGCTGAGTTCTCTTCCCTCTTTCGGTACCCATAGTCCCATTCTGGGGCAGCCCTCCTTCCCACCCTTTGAGCTCCTCTCCAGGCCTCTCAGCTGCTGGATCCACCCTGAGTCTTGCTCCCTCAGACCTCCCTGCACAGGCCTCCTGAGTCACCTGCCTAAAACCTGGCTCTGGGCCCAAGCCAATCCTTCCCACCAGGGACCAGCAGTGCTTCCCCATTGCCCACCATGACCCCTCATCCATATTTCCCTGGTTGTCTTCCACTCCCTCTGGGCTTTGCCCCCAGCCCATCTCCTTCAGGAAGCCTTTCCTGGGTTCCCTGGTTTGCACTCAGGCAAAGTGAAGAGCTAAGGCTCCAGGGAGTCCTAGGGCTAGGAGCCCAGGTCTCCAGCCACCTTTGGGCCTCCTCTCTGAGAAACATTTTCCTTCTGTGAAAAATAGAGAAAGTTTAGAGACAGAGACACAATCCTACTCTGTGGCTCCCAAAGTGAGGCAGGAGGTGGAGAAGCTGCTTTCCCATGCTCCTGATCACGCACTTTGCCACACAGCTGTCTGCCTGCCTCCACTTGAGCCCCGTTACCTTTGGGATCCATTTCTGGAGGTGGGGAAGTCTCAGCTTTCCGGTCAGGATTAGGAGACAGCTCCTCCGAGGATGTCTCTGGCATCTTGCCTTCACAGCTCTCCTTGGGGAGAGACAAGGGTGGCTGGGAAGACCAGCGCCACTCCTCATTGGCCTCAGGGAGATCTCCACTCATGCCTTCAAAGGCTATGGCCCATTAGCTGGAGGACCAGGCTGGCAAGGAGTGGCAGCTACTGTGGACTGACCAGCTGCCTCGATGTGCCAGGCTTTGTAAGGCAGAGGAAAGTAGAAGTAACGACACTTAGGGATATTTATAAGTCTAGCCCAGGTCCTGCCCTAAACCTCCCACTCTCTCTTCCCAACCTCCCTCCCTCCCACCCTACCCTTCCTTCCTGCCTCCCACCCACTCCCCTGCTCCCTAGGAACATTCCGTGCCATCTTTCAACAAGTCAGCCCTTCCAGCGGTTCGAGGGGGCAATCTCACCACGGCCCCCCTAAATCTTCTCTGGCACCTGCTCGCCAGCCCTACCTCCTCCAACAGACCTTCTAGAACCCCTGCCCACCAAGCACCCTGCCTTCCCAGAGCCCCCCCCCCCAGTGCCCTTGCCCAGCCCTCTTCCCCTCCCCCATCAGCACCTGAGAAACACTGAGTCCAGTGGGGGACAGGGAAGAGGGCTATGGTGGCAGAGAACATGAAAACACCTGATTCAGTGTTAAAACCAGCAAAGAACACAGGGACCACACAGTTCCCTGGTAGCTGTGTGAGCAGGCTGCAGGGGAAGCAAAGAGGTCAGGAGCAACAGATGAACTGGGGGGGGGGAGGGCAGGAAGCCCCCCAGCCCAGCTTGATGGAAAGGACCCCCCTCCAGCTCATGCCACGGCCGCCCCAAGGCCCAGCTGGAAAGCCCCTCCAATAGCCCACCTGAACAGGGGCTTTCAGAGCCATGGCAGCCTAAGTGCCAGACAGAATCTGCCTTGCCTCTCCCCAGAGGGTCTGGGCTGGGTATCAGCTAGAATGGGGCTGCTCCGGTAATTCCCACTAAGGTGTGAAAGACTCCCAAGGCCTCTCCTTCCTGGAGTAACCCACAGTCCCAGAATTCCAGCATCCAAAGGGGCTTCAGCAGACACCTGGTCCAAAGCGTACAAGCAAGGGTGCTTCCCCTCCCCCAATCCCAGTGCAAAGCCCTTGGCCAGGGGCCATCAGGTGTCTATGGGCAGACCTCCAAGCTGGGGGAGCCCTTTGCCTGCTGGGGGAGCCACTCCACTCTGGGGGCATCTGAGTCTCTGTAGGGAGGGCTTCCCTCCATCAAACCTACAATGGTGCTGGGCCCCTTCCACTCACTGCTCCAGCTTCAGTCCTCCAGCCAAGCACAAAATGGCTGAGCCCTCTTGCCCCTGACAGCCCTTCACATAAAGCAGTCAGGGCCATTTCCCAAGCCCCTCCTCCCCTCCCCAAGCCTTCTCTTCTCCTGAAGAAACAGGCCCAGAGCCTTCAAAGCTTACCCCAATGTCCCCGTCTTGAGACCCTTCCCCAGCCAGAGGGGATGCCCTCCTCTGGACACTCTCCAGCTCCCCTTTGTCCTGCCCAGACTGGGGCCCAAGAAGGGAATGCCCTGCTCCACACGTGTCCTGGCCTGGGCCCTTGAGGCCCATGTGGCTCTCTCACCTCCCTCCTTCTGGGCCCTATGGTTCCCCTGAGGCCCACTAACATGGCCACACTCTTGTGGCTCAGGGAACTTGCAGCCTACTCAGATCACTGACTCTTTTTCAGATGGACTGCTGTCTAACCAGGCTTCTCCCATCCTGCACTGCTGAGGCTGTTTTCTCAAACCTAAGTCTAAAAAGAGGAAGCACACTTTAGGCTTTGATCCACTCGATTTCATCAGTTTTGATTCAGCCCAGTACTCTAGCCTGTCGAGATCTTGGGGGATCTTGGCTCTGTCATGGCAGAGTGATGGCTACCTCTCCCTACTTTGTTTGGGTCATCTGCTAATTGGGGAAGCGCTGACATCCGGGCTTTTTTGGTCCAAGTCACTGCTGGACAAGCAAAGCACCTCAGGGCCAAGCATAGATGCTTGGGGCATCTCACTGGAGACCTTCAGCCAAGTGTCCTCAGACCCTTAGAGACAACTCTCTGGGCCAGCCCTCTGACTGGTTCTGGGCCCTGTCACCCCTTCTGGACTCTTTCTCATCTGGGTTCAGAAGCCACCTCAGATACTTACTAGGGGCATGACTTTGGGCAAGGGGGCCTTCCTCTCTCTCTGGGCCTCAGTTTCCTCACCTACAAAGTGATAGGGCTGGGCCTGAGGACCTCTGATGTCCCTTCCAACTGGAAATCTAAGTAAGATCCTATGAGCTAGGCCACAGTTCCTCCCCCTTGCCACCTGAATGGTGGGAGAGACTTGATTCAGTTCTTTCCTAACAAATCTCAACTCTCTAGGCTGCCTGTCTCAGACCACCATGATCTAGGCCCACTGACCTCTTGCTCATTGAACTTCCCCCCCATCCCCATTCTGGCCCCTTGGGTCTAGTCAGGCCATCTCCTCCTGCCTCCGTGAGAGGCCATGCTTAACCCTGATTTGGGGCTGGGGGCAGGCTGCCCCTGAGCCTTGGTTGTTCGTGTTTTTCTTCTTCCCTGAACTGCATTTCTTGGCGCTCCCCCCCCCCCCCCGGCCCTACCCTAGCCAGCCTTGAAGGTTGGGATACTTTGTATGGCAAACCCAAGAATGTAGAGCAGAGAGCCAGGAACAGCCTGGCCACTCTGGAGGGTTCCCAGGGTCAGTGGCCTTCCTCCTCCTCTACCCAGGGCTGGGCTCTGTGTTTCTTTCTGGGGCAAACAGCCCTGATAAGGTACAGTGACAAATCTCCAGCCCAGGGGCAGCTGAGGAGGCGCAGGGTGGCAACAATGTCCCATACCCTGTGTTCCCTGTGTACCCTGTGAAATCTGCAGGGAGTGAAGTCTCGTGGTTGGCAGGAGGCATGGGGCTCGGCAGCCCTGCTCTTTGTATCAAGAAGAAAGTAGGCCAAGGCTTCTGGGAGCCCCATGGGCCCTGACTCCCAGCCTGGAGGCCTGAGCATCTTCAGGCCTGGCCATCTCTGGCCATTGTTCTAGTGGGCCCATCTCCTCCCATGCAGCCAATCTCCTGGCCAGGACTCAGGGTTGGCCTTCCTTCCCTCCTCGAGAGCTTTCTGTTCTGCCTGCTATCACCTCTCTGCTCACTCCCCACTGACCAGGCCCACCCCAGCAAAAACCAGGCCACCCAGAGGAGCTGCCCCTGGGCAGTATACAAGTCCTTTGTTCTCCAGGGAGAAGAGTAACAGAACATGGAGGTCCAGGCCCCAGGGAGGCAGGCAGGGGCTCAGGGGAGGCAGACAATGGGCTTTCTTGCCCTTTCCCTCTGGCCTTGTGGTCCCCGGGAGCTCCAGCCCAGGCCCTTAGAGACCATCTCAAGAGGTGTCAAACTCAAGTAGAACTGGGGAGCCTCAGCCCTCTCAAAGGATTCCTGTGGGAGAATATTGCCTTAGAAAACCCCACGTCAACCTTCCCTGTGCTTTAGTGAATTGTCTTTGGTCCTGTTACCTGTTCCCCAAATACATTGTCACCTGGTTCTGAGCCCTCGGGGGAGTCTTGCAGGCCTGGGCCAGGTGGTTGACACCCCGGATCTAGACCAGTCTCTTTCCCTTCACAGAGGGGGAAACAGAGGCATGCAGAGGCAGGGAGGCTGGTCCCTAGCTCAGGGCGTCAGAGCGTGTTCAACCTGGAAGTGACCCGGGCCGACCTGGAGTGGCACGGCACCTGCTCGGCCCCACAGAGACAACGAGACATGCCAAAAGTCAATCCACACACAATTCGGCCACAGAACAGTAGTGATGGAAGGGACCCTGGGCGTCCTTGACTTCGGCCCTCTGATTTTCCAGAAGAAGAAAGGGAAGCCCAGAGAGGCCAGGTGGCTATGCCCCAAGTCCCCCAGCTCCTCAGGGTCAAGGCCAGGATCAGAGGCCTGGGCCCCTTCCCCCTGCTCCATGCCGCCTCACCCACCGGCCCCACAGACTGGGGCTTAGTCCATTTGGTGGGTCCTTTGGCCAGCATGGAGCTCATGTGGATGGAGCAATGGGCCACAGCCCAGTGAGGCTCCCGGGGGTCTGGAAGCAGACAGTGTGCTTGCAGTGCATCCTGTTACTCTGAGCTCTCCCCTCACCCCTTCCACTGGCCCCTAGACCTAAGCATTGGATGGAGTCCTCCAGGACTCCCTCCCTCCTCCTGCTCCCAATGCCCCCACGTGTCTGGACCTGAGGGCCTTGGGAGGCAGCTGCCTAGACTGAAGGAGGTCAGACCCAGAATGCTGGGCCAGGCTATTGTGGCTCCATGCTGGGCAGGACCCCGAGGCCCCAGGTGTGGCTGCCCGGGCCACTCCAGCCCTGTCGTCTGACTTGGCCAAGGCCTCAGGAGCCATCTCTCACCTGGCCACAGATCCTGGCCAATGCTGAGCTCGAAGCTTGGGCCTATGCCTAGGGAAGGTGTCTTGTTGGAGGACTCTCTCCCTGGCCATTCCCCCATCCCTCTCTCCCCTTGCTGTCTCCTGTCTGTCCAGTGCTTCCCGACCCTTGGGCAGGACCAACATGGCTACAGGGTGGTGCCTGGAATAATGTGCCCTGGGCAGAGCAGGTCTGTGCTGGCTTCCAACCCTCATTGTAGACACACTCAGCACTCACCTGAGCCAGCTGGTGGGAGAAGCCTCCTGGGCATGAGCTTTCTTGTGGGTGTTGCCCCAAGAGGCCCTGAGGATGGGCAGGGCTGAATATCTGGGGGTGAAGGGCAATATTTGGGAATACCAAATGTTTGGCCTCATCATGTAGTGCCTGCTTTATTACAGTAGCCTGCTGCTGGGTCTGTCTGTTCTAGTCTCTTCCTATTCCAATCCAGCCTCCATTTACCCACTAAAGTGATTTTCCTAAAACACAAGTCTGACTACGGCTGTCTGTGGCTTCCAGAAACTAATAGGAAATTCTCTGGTACATTCAAAGTCCTTCACAGCCTGCCCCAGCCTATCTTCCCAGTCTTCCTAAACTTTCTTTCCTGGCATGTTCTCTTCCATCCAGTGACTCTGGTCTCCCCACTGTTCCATGAACAAGACCCTCCATTTCTGGGATCTAGCATTCTCCCAGGCAAGTGTGCAATGTGCTCACCCCTGTGCTCCAACTCCTCACCTCCTGGGCTTTCTTTAAGTCCCAGCTCCAATCCCTCCTTGTTCAGGAAGCCTTCCCTAACCCCTCTGCCTTCCAAGGCCCCCCCT